CCCCCCCACCCCCTTACGCCACAATACGCATCCTGTGTGGCCAAAATATTGAAGTAATGAACTTGCTTTATGTCAGGTCTGAGCGCTTTGTGGGCTCCATCAAAATGCCACTAAACTGGAAGCATCGAGGGCGGCCCAGGACTCGCACTTTGTGCTAATGGCCACATAAATTTTGCTCTCTGCCATAATTTTTGATTACATGGGCGTGGTCGAAGAAGGCGTGGTCCTTGGCGTAAGCAAGCAACAATAAAATAATAGTGCACTCTAGTTTAACAAGTGGGTTTCTTGGAAATGGGATATGAGCATTTGAGTAAGAGAGAGAGAGAGAGAGAGAGAGGCAGATTGAGAGAGAGCGATTGAGAGATAGATTGAGAGAGAGAGATAGAGAGAGATAGACAGAGAGTGTGAGAGAAATTTCACAGACAAATATTCTATTTTGATATAAAATATATTACCCTGAAGACGAACCTTAACCCATAATAAATCAAATAATATCACTGATTTTTCCTTGCTCTCCTTTATCATTCAATCCTGTCATTCTTACCATTCATTGACCTTAAGCATGTATTCAAATTAATATGCAATTGCCTATTAGATAGCGGGACATTAATCTTCAAATATTTCATCCAGCAAAAATTAAATAGAAAATAAAATAAAAATTAAAATAAAATAAAAATAAAATAATTTGAATCGAGACCAAAAACTTACCATGGCTTAAGTCTCCAGTCAGGCACAAATCAGTTTCAGCAATTCAAATTTTTTGGCATTTGCCTTGGTCAATTGTGTTTGTTTTCACTGTGCTGCCAAATGCTTAAACTCTGGCCGAGCCATGGCTGAAAATTAGAGAAGGCCTTGATTGAAATGCGGGAACGGCAAGGCCCAGTGGCTGCTGCTCCACTTGGCTTGGCCCCACTGCACACATGTCACCGGGTCTTTCGACAGCTTTTTGCCCAGTTGGGCACTCAGATTAGGCAGGTGAGGGAGGGTTGATGCAAGTGGTGACTGGTGCAAGTGGATCAGTAACAAGTCTCACGACAGCAACACCTACGCACTGTCAGCCACACAATGGGCAACATACCACAAAACAAGTGTTGGGCAGTTAAGTTTTTGCCTCGAAAAGGATGGCTGTGTGTGTGTGTGCGAGAGTGTGCATATGTGTGTGTGTGTGATTGTGTGTAGTTACTGTTTCAGGCCCTGGTGTCAAATGCAAAACCGGATGCGGAAATGCAGGCAGCCGGAGACGAAAAGAGCGAACGACAGACAGACAGGACAACAGCCGGCAGCTAGCCTGGACGCACAGATCCAGCCAGTCAGGCGGGCAGACAAATCAGCTTTGCTCACACACACACACACGCACATACGGACACACATATTCGCTGGGACAGACGCACAGTTGAGTGATTTTTCGATTATCATTTGCACGCCTTGGGTGACAAATCAAATGCTCAGCAAGTGCACTGAAGCTTCTCTGAGGCCCTCATCTGGGTCTGCCAGCTTGGCCAATCACTCGATGTGGCTGTTGTTGTTGTTGTTATTTTTCCCCAGTTGCTGTGCTACTATGTAAGTGGACTGGTTAAGTTTTACAGGTGTTTATAGCCAAAAACCCTCTGAGTTATCAAAGCAAAATTTTGTGTGTGATTTGTAGCGAAAAGTTTGCAAAACACTTACTAATCTAACCAGGATAGGCATGCTGTTGATGAGGCACAGTATTTAAAGTCTTTTTCCATTAGATATATTCGTATAACATTGCAAAAAATAAAAGGGGAAATATTAAATAATTTTCAAGTTCAATTTGATTTAAAATATTAATAAATAAATATATTTTAGTTAGTTTGTGTTAAGTAAAATATATTAAAATAATATTTCATAAATTTCTCCGACTTTTACATAATATAATCTTTTTATATAAAATTTATTTAATTTTCAATTTTAACCTCAAGTTATTCCAACTAAATATGTTTGAAATAAATATACGTATTATATATGAATATTAATAAATATAATAATAATATTAATAATAAATATATATAATAATAATAAATAAATATGTTTAAGTTAATTTGTATTAAGTAAATTATATTATAATAATATTTCATTAATATCTGCGACTTTCCAATTTTTTAATTAATATAATTTTTAAAAATAAATAAAAATAAATACAAACTTTATTTAATTTATGTTTTAGCTAAATATTTTATTTATATATGAATATTTGCAAAGCTCACAAATTTTCCCCCTGATTGTTCTCAATTCTGTTTACAGAATTTCAGCTGTTTAAATAGTAATTAGAAATTGCCTTTGGGTTTTAATTTCCCATATATTCTCATAGATTTGTTTTCACTATATTTCTCTTATTTTCCAATTAGAAACATTCTAACAAAATACCAAAAAAAAAAAAGATCTTTTTATATAATATTCAAATTAAATTTTGTGTAATTGAAAATAATTACAAATAAATATGTTTAAGTTAATTGGTATGAAATGAGTAGTATTACAATAATATTTCATAAATAGTGCACATATTGAGCTCAACTCTAGTCACACAAATTGAGCTATTCAAATAGCAATTTCGACTTGCCTTTGGGCTTAATTTTCACATATATTTGCCTATGCTGGGGCCCAGCGTATAATCATTGTAGTTTGTAGTTGAAGTTCCCTTGTACAACATGACGTATGCGCGTTATTAATGCGCCCAGCATAAATAGCCATGCAATTTATATGCGCATTTTATGACAGTGCACATATGCATATGCAAATGCAGTTGCATCTGTCTCCCAGCCAGCGTGCGTGTGTGTGAGTGTGTGTGTGTGTGTGTCTGTGTGTGTCTGTGTGTGTTTGTTGATTTTAATTACAAGCCTTGCATTGGTCGGCTATGCTAGGGCAGCATTACTCAGGGCTTGGCTGGGCTTGGCTGGGCTTGGCTTCTATTGAAATGTACGATTTTAATTGCACTGCGAAGGCAAGCCAAGGACAACGTTTATAGCTGATGGATTTTGTTGATTGTAGGCAAAGAGACGATTGACAAATTAAATTGCTTATTGATGAGCGGTTGCCCTATCACCCTCTCTCTCTCTCTCTCTCTCTCTCTCTCTCTCACTCCCACACTCTCCTTTTGTGTGTATAGAGTCGAAATTGCATACGTCGACTGCTTTTAGGCGTCGGCAGAGTCGCAGTCGATGTTCTCCATGAAAATGAAATAAGTGCATAATGGAAATTTACGAAAGCCAATTTGGTAATAATTTAAATTGAATATTTATGTTGTTCTTGGCCATGCATACATATGCGCGTGTGTGAGTGTGGCACTTCATTTAAAATCAACTGCGGGCATTGTGAGCAGCTATCGGAGCAAGCGAGATGAAGCGAGAGTCATGCATAGTACATTAGTTTTGAGTGCGCTGCCTATTTGCATATGTGTATTTGTCTTTTGCCAATGAATTTCTAAAACACACACACGCACACACTCACACAGGCACAGCGTGGCTGGCTGAAGTTCGACTTCGTGCCCTGTCAAAACTTCAACTGTCAAAACACTGATGAGAGATCCATTTAAATTAGAGCTTTGTTTGTATTGCATTAAGAACAGGCAAATTTGCAATGTCTCTGTTTATCCATACACACATATATAAAAAGTTACATATATTTGCAGCTGGAATATACATATGTATATCTATAAGAACCATTAAGGCCATATACATCTGCATTCGTCGAGTGGCTAAGTGGCCAGAAAAATTGATGCCACATTATCTCAAATGGTTTATGAACTCAGTTGAGCATGCAAATATTTCACATACGACACGTTTGCCTAGCACAAACACACACATATTGCATAAATATACAAATGTACCGAAGGAAAACACTTTGGCAGTTGACAAAAATTCACCAGCAAATTGCCACAAAATATCTTTGAGCATTGTAAATGAATGCAATCTTCGATACTTTTACGGCTAAATCACTTTTAATGCACATGCAGTTGACGCGCTGCCAGGCAACATTCAACATTTCAGCATTCGAATCGATAAACTTTGATTTCGCAATGTGAGAATCATTTGCCTAAAATACTTTCGGATTTTCATCGCAGAGCTGAGAGAGTGAAGTGCAGGATTTTTGCGATAATTAAAATGCAGTTGAAGTGCTCGGGCAAATATTATTGAATGGAGAAGGGGAGGGGGAAAAGGGCGAACAAATAAGCTAAAGAGCATAAGAAATTGCAAGAAACATATTGCCATTTCAGATAGACTCTAGTTTTATTTGAAAACTATATGAATGCAATTACTTATGGATAAGCTCATATGTGGAAAGGTATGGGGTATACTCTTTGATGAAGAAGAACTTCTAGAAGTCCTAGAAACTCATCGAGCATATATAGTAAGAAGAATTATATGTCTCGTATATATCTGTTTTATCTGTCTGTGTTAACTTTTCCCATGTTCCTATGTACCTCTGCGTTTAGTTTGAGCTAATAAATATCATATCAACTTAGGCTACTCATCGTATATCGTTTATAATATTTAGTATCCAATATTTTATTATTGAAGTATTGCGTATAGTATCACATATAATAATAGTCTTCATTGTATCATTCATATCATATATGATATATGTCATGTATAATATCGCATATATAGTATATACCATATGAAATGGCCTAGGTATATAAGGATATCAAATAATGTATTATATATACTATAATAAATATTTATGCATGACGTATATAGTATTTGGTATATGCTGCATTTAGTATCGTTTATCGTAAATAATATATATTGTATACCACAATATTCTATGTAGTATTATTTATCACTTACGATATATATCGTGTATAATCTTGTATATATAGCATATATATATCGTATATCATAGCCTGGTCATCCTTTATTTACCTGCATATTCTTAATCATGCTGATTCTATCGCAGTTTACCTCTCCAGCCTATTCAATTAAAACTTAAAATGAACTCAAACTCTTCCTTATTTAGTTGCTTCTTATACAAATTCCAGTTAATACAAATTCTTCAGAATAGGCACAATAAAAACGATAAAGTGAAAGATTCGATTAACATTATTCAATTCCCAAACAAACGCAGACCCATTCCGCCAGTTCGCCTCAATTGTCCATTAATACAGTCTGGGGCACGAAATCAATGGCTGATCAATTTGAAATATGCAGCAGGGCTAACACGTGCCGGGCTCCTCATGGCGCCAAATTGTCAACTGAGCTACCTGACCTCAGACCGCTTGCTGGCCCGGGTCAACTCAAATATCCATCAGCAGCTTAACACCTCCGAGCCCTAAGCCAGGCTATAACTTCTGCTCCATTTAGCAGCCGCTCCATTACGAATTCTAAGCAATTTCCTTATCAGCTTAGATAAAATCGTGGCCGGCAGTGATGCGTTGCGAATCCCGTCAGTCCCGCCAGACCAGCCATACAATAATAATTAGCATAGGGCCAACGAACCACTTCAGAATTCGAAAGTTTATCATTTCGGGCGAACGTATTGCTGCCACTTATCGTCATCATCAACGGCAGCAGGAACTTCATCATTGCCTTCCTTGTTGGCGTACAGAATTCATAACTTTGGTGAATATTATTAAAATATGTACGGCTGGTCGCTGTGAATGACTCCATGGAAGTGCTCTCTGTCTCTCTGCCCCCTAGTTCCAGGCTCCTGCCCTCTGCTGTCCTGCGCTGTCCTGTCTGCGGCAATTGTTGAGCTGGAAGCAATCAAAAATGTTGATAAAATAATTTCAAATTCCATTTATATCCTTAAGGACAATTTGGCATTCACCGGTACTAATAATATTATCGAAGCCGCATCCTCGCTGTTTGGGAACCTGTCCTGCGGCGCATTTCCTTTCGCTTCCTGGCATCGCTGGCGCTTTCGCAATTTGTCAGCAATTGAAATTCACCAAACATTTTTGAATTTGTTTGGCCGCGATTTCAGCTCGAGCCTCGCGTTCGGGTCTCGGTTTCATGGTTTCATGCCCAGCAGGCACATTTTGCATTTCTCTGTCCCATTCATCGATTGCCTTGGCGTTTGTCCTCCTGTCGCTTGTCGCAGTTGCTGCCGTTGCTGGTTGCTGGTTGTCGCTGTCATTGCATCTCGCCCGCTGCCGTTTGGCTGTCTGTGTGTGTAGCTCGCCTCTTGCCGCTGTGGCAGCCACGGCACCCACTGTTTTGATTTTTATCCACAGCGTGAATATGCAAATTGCCAATGAAACCAACAGCCACCAGCACCCAGTCACCAACCACCAACCAGGCAGCCACTTCACAAGCTCCAATTGTTGCCAGAATTCTCTCAGCTTGCTGCTCTAAAAGCTTTTTGGCCAAATGCTTTTCGGCCAGTCAGAGCCAATCAAACTTGCAGTCTGACAATTTTTAGTACAGGCCCTAGGTAGCTGCCCTCCGGCATATTCAATGTGACCAAATTAGAGGAGGCCATTCAATCTAAATGGAAATTTTGAATTATGCCCAAAGTGAACAATGAGTAAATTAAGAAATCAATGAGCAGGGTAACTCCATGAGTTTTAATAACTTTTGTAAAGTCACAAAGCAGAACAAAAATAAATAAAAAGCCAGTCATCAAAGTGTTTCTTCACTGTACCACAGATATTTCGACTTTTGGCATTATTCACGTTAACCAAAAGAAAACTATTATCAAACAATTTCAAACAGCGGAAGAAACAAAATACTATATAGAGAGAAAAACGTGAAAAATGCAATTGCATATTCAAGTTTTGCACTTGAAATTCAGAGATTTGTATCGCTGCGCTCATATGAATAGCCAAAGAGTCTCAGACCCGGTAGCCAGCCGGCTTCGCTGTATTGGCTGGGCCGCTCTCTTGTCTCGGCACGAAACGGAAGCAGACGTGGAGCCCGAAAGGAACCACAGGGTGTCTAGCGAACAACGGGCGAGATAAATCTTTAGCCTTTGAACAAATGTTTGTGCATATTTGAACTTGCCAGCCAGCCGAGGAAAACCAATTTTAAATTGGCAAAAGGTTAAGCCCAAAAACTAACAGACCCGGCCAGGTGAGGGTAACTAGCAGGGGGTGACAGCAGCCAACAGAGAGCAGCCAGCAGCCAGCAGCTGAGGCAGCTCCGTCTGTGTTTTTGGGGCTGCTACGTTCGCTGCATACATAATTAAGCTGGTCCCTGCATATTGGAATGCATTGATTTGATCATCAGAATGCCTCAAGAAATACGAAATAGTATCGGTGGACTGGCTACGTGTTGCTATCTATGATTGCAAGCACTACGCGGAACTGTATCAATGCTTGCCCCAATACTGAAATTTCTATGCGCTGCTCTGCCAAATTGGAAATGTGCCTTTATTTCTGTCTCTGTGACGTTCTATGTGATTCTCACAAATACAAGTCAGGCTTAGTCTAATTTCCTTTGCTGCTATGATGTTGAGTGCGAAGTAATCTTTGTTGCAGTGCTTTTCTATGTGATTCTCATTAAGAGAAGATATTTTCTTCACTCGCTCTTAATACTCTCCTGTATTAATGCTCATTTATATAGAACATTTCGTTCACTGCTTTGAAAATTTCTAGTGCCCTTCTATGTGATTCTCATGAATACAAGTAAGGCCTACTCGAACTCTTAGGTAAATGTGTGAAAGGGTTTGCTTTTAAAAATTTCTTTCTATGTGATTCTCTCTTATTCTCTCTTGCAATTTAAATCCAAGCGTGACTCTAATCATATTAATGGAATTTGAGCATGTTGTTAAAAAAAATTGTTGCTCACTAAAATAAGAAATGATGAACTGCGATTGACTGCTTGGACTCTGCTTGGCTTTTCAACTGTACAGGTCAAATGAGCCGTTAATGTCAATCCTTTTTCGTTTATTGGTTAATGTATGCATATCTGCATGTGTGCATGTTCGCATGTATGCATGCGAGTATATCTATGTGTGGTCGGAGTATGAATGTATGCTCGGCAGCTCGTTAAATTTCATTCAGTTCGCTATGAGGGGACACAAAAATTGGCATAAAATGAGTTTTTTGTGTTGAAAATAAAGGAAGGAAAAAAAAGGCGAAAGAGAGGAAGAAGAGCAGAGCACGTTTGGTATGCTGACATTGATGTTGTGCTCCGTTGTCGTCCGTTGCCGCTGCGACTGCTGTCAATATCCACGTCATGCTCGGGCGGCGTCATCATCGTCGCCATCATCAACAGGCAACAAACAGGCAGTGCCAATCGAGTGAGCTCTTTCATCCGTTTGCCAGTGACAAGGCTGAGCGAGTGGACGGCCATTTCACCGGATATCGGCCAGCTCGACATTGGCCAATAATTCGCAGCTCTCGGCCGGCACAGAGATTGGCGCCGCACATATGCAACTAATTGATATTATATGAATGATATGTTAAATACGAATGGCCTGCACATGGCCAGATGAAAACAATGACAGCAAAAACCAATTGCCATTATTTATGCGAACTGCAAATAATAATAAAAGAAATTGTATTTTTCAGCTTTTTCATAAAGCCAATGGATTCGCAATTAAGCAGAAGACACAGGCCAGGACATGTGGGGCAAATGTGAATACTTGCATGTGCAATAAAAGGCATTTCATGTTGAAAATAAATACAGTTTGTACAAAAAGTTTTTATTAGAGCAATTCATTAAAACACGAAAAGTTGTTGATGAAAAATGTGTGACATTCTGAATACAAATTTAAGCGAATATATATAACAAAAAATATTTATTATTAATATAATATATTTAATATTCGAAAATATTTTTCCTTTAACTTAAAGTACAAATATTAAATAAATATTTAATAAATGTTATTTATTACAAAAGTAAATCATATAAATAATTTTATATCACATAATATTTTTTTAAGAAAATATATATATGTATTTCCTATAAAAATTATATTATAATTATATATATATTTTTTTAACATTATATATAATATTAAATATTTTACCAATTATAATATTTTTATTATATTTATTAATATTTAAAAATTTGATAAATATATTTCTTTAAATTATGGAAGTTAGTTAAAGGTAATATATAAATTGTAGTTTTGAAACAAATATTTATTTAAAATATTTTATATTTTATAATATTAATTAACATTAAATTTTATAATATTTTATAAATTCTGAAACAAAAATTCGGACCAAAAATAATACAAATTATTATAAAATTCTTTCCTTGTAATACAATTTTTGTCTTTAAACGTTCTTCTTTTTTGACTCTCCTTAAATCTAATCTAAAATAAAGCGCCCTCTTCTGGTCACGCTAAGAACCTTGTAATCCCTTTCAGTTGACTTCTCCCGCCAAGCCTCTCGAATGTCATGTCCGCCTCCGCGAGACAGTCAGCATGAAGTCCTGGTAATTTGCATACTCCATTCGGATATTGTCATTGTAGCGAAGCAGCTGTACGGGCAGGGCAGCCTTAGGAGTGCACTTACCGTAACTCCTACACTTTGGCCAACTTAAATGCCAATTAGTTTCCATTTAGGCGAAGTTTGGCACTCGGAGACCGGCGCATCGTTCGCTCATTAACAATGCCAATTCGAAAAGTCTTACCAAATCCAAATGCAAATCCAATCGGGCTACAATGACGCGTCTAATTAGTCAGGTTGGCAGCTAAATCCCAGGCACGTTTTAGTCGTCCAGTCGCTGCTCCGTCCAGCGCCCCGCTGTGGGTCTCCGGGTGTTGGAGCATTATAAAATATTTCTCACTGTGGCGTTCACATCGAGTGGGGAATTAAACAAATTTATTTGCAAATCGAGCAACGACTCGAGTGGAGTTGACTCAACATGGGCGACGACTCGTCGACTCGTCGACTCTACGTAACTTAATTTTGGGCAATGCTACGATGTATCCGCCCGCCCGTCCGCCTGTCCGCCTGTCCGCCTGTCCGTTTGTCCAGTACGAGCGCGCGGTCCTTGGTCTGGCAACAATTTATTAACACTTTTCTTGTTCGTGCTTCAATTCCCCCGACTGCGTGACTGTTGCACACAGTTGCCGCCAGCTGACCCTTCGCCTTCAGACATTAGATAACAATTCTCTTCCGTTCCGTTTGTGTGCAGCCAAAATCCTTGTCGGCTGACTGTTGTCTGTTGCGGCCCGTCGGGGTCATGTAATTTTGTTGCAATTTTTAGCATGCGAACGCGGCACGAATGCTGAATGCTGAATGCTGAATACCGAACACCGAATGCCGAATGCCGCCTGCTCCACTCACAAAACTAGCTTTTGCAGCTTTTTAATTAAAAAGGTCAGAGCGGGTTCAATTTATGCTGATGTTGCTGCAAGCGCACCATAGCAGCGGCTAATCTCCCATTGAGAGAAAGACGTTTTAGCTGCCTCAGCAGTGGCTCCTTGGCTATTTAGCTGCTCCAATTATTGCAGCAGTTGGAGGCGGCCCTTGTTGTTGTTGCTGTTGCTGTCGTTGCTGTTGCTGCTGCAGCAACTCCATGACAGTTTATTGTTGTGACACATTGACAAATGCTTTTACACGCCACAAATCGTTAGGCCCACTGCGCCCCAAAACACATAATACCAATGCCAAAATGGCATGCCAATTAAACGGAGAGCAGCTAAGCAGAGATGGCCAAAAGTCGTGAGCTGAGAGCTGAAATTAACTTGAATTCTGCTCAGTTGGAAGGTTCTATATAACTGGATGAATTGAGCTGGAGGGAACTAATTTCTTGGACAAGTTAGTTTAATTAGTCGATGACTATCTTAGCTGCTTTATTAAAACCTGCATAAACTCTGCATTCAACAATATTTTAGCTGATCTGCCTTACTTCTCTAACTTTTCTATAATCATATTTCTGCATTCGAACTTATTTGCTTTGCCTGATGAATTTGCCCTACCTTCTTCAATATCTATCAACTTAGTGAGCCCATTGTTACCCAATATTTCAACACAGCTTTAGTTTAGAGTAGTTGATTAATATCTTAGCTAGCATATTTTATTATTCCTTAACTTTGCTTTATTTATTAATAGGTTAGTTGGTATCTGATCTAGATGCTCAGCTGTAGAATATCAATTTACCATCTTCTACTTTGTTGGATTTATTGATATCTTGCCTTGCTCCAAAGTTTTTCTCAGTTGATTTTCTATACTCTTCCTCAACTTCACTGGATCTGTTAAGTTCTAATTGTTAGCTGATATTTTCGATTTTTTCCCTCAAGCTTTGCTTCATCAGTTTTCATTTTTTTGAAATGTTTCTCAGTTTTACAGAATCTGTTCGCATTATGTATATAGCTGTATATTTATGTATATATGCTCCTTTTCACTTTT